TGTGTCATAACTACTATTTTTTAGGACTAACCTTGGTGCAAATTTCCCGATCGGAAGACATAGATTTCAAAAGTTGGGTCACTTGAGGTGAAATGCCCCATGTATTTATGTATGTACTTGGGTAATTTCCAAACAAATCGTACATGGCAAGTACTATAAGCCCTGTTCGCGTACGCACTATCCAGTAAATCCAGTACTAATTTTACTGTTTTTTACTGGATGTCGTTTTCGTACGCAAAAACTTGCAAGAAACTAGCAAAAGCGGGGAAATTGAGAGAGGAAAATTGACAGCTGAACTTGCAAGTTTTACTGGATTTTTACTGGATAAATTTTTACTAGCAACTATTTGCTAGTAAGAAAAACAGCTGATGGCATGATGCTTAATGTAATTCACATTAACAAAATAATTGTTTGTGGTGCTGTTAGAGTTGCAATTGACAAAATAAACCCATTTAAATATATAATAGATGGAAAATACTAGTTTTCTAAGAAAATTGCATCGGAAAATAGCAAATAAATCAGCTGTTCATAAAACTAGCAACTTCTTGCTGGTTTTGCGTTTTCGTACTTTCTTGCATATTTCACTCATTGGGAGTAAATATTGACTTACTCTCCGAAACTTGGTACTGGCAAGTTACTGGATATTTTTTGCTGGAGAATACGAAAACACAGCTATTTATATATTTTTTTTAAGATTGGTAAATTTATACTCTGAAACCGTTTATCGGCGTGAAAATTTGTGCAGAATACGAAATTGCTTTCAGGCTCTTATATTTTCCAGAATTTTATTTTTTTAAAAGTAAGTTAAAGTATTAAATAAGTTTAGAAACTATTAGAAAACGTATACTAACCGATAAGCATTGTACTGATTTTTAACGTTAAATGCATGCTTTTTAAACATTTGCATATCACTTCAAATCTCATTGCTTACAAAAGCTAATGTTGAAGTTTTTTTCCAATTTCTTTATGACATTTTTCATGGTTTCATGTCATGGTTTTTCTTGAGAGGCTGGCTTTTTGTTTAACAACAATTCCCACATATGCCATTTGAACAGTTTTGGAGAAATAAGCTTTTTAAATAAAAAAATCCTTTTTCACCTAAAGGTGACATTCTTGTGTTCTCAAGCTTAATTCTATACATATAGAGGCCGATTCTGAACATATACTCCCCGGGAGTTTTCTCTCTTTTCCCTTTCCTCCTATCATGAATAAAAATTCCTTGAGGATTTTGTATACTAAATGGCGGAGTTGAGCTCTAAAAAAGTGTTAAACGTTTTCTCGAAGTTCGAATTTAATCCTCTCAAGTTTTCGGGAAAATGCTACTCCTGGGAGTTAATTATTGGGGGATTTCTTTCTCGGGAGAAACAAATTCCCGGAGAACAAACTCCCTGGGAGTATTAAGAATTGGCCTGATAATAAATTTGTAAAAGACCGAAGTCTGTACATTATTGATATTAAAGAAAAATTAATATGGGAGGCCTTTATTAGAGCAACAGAGGCCAAATCAACAGTTTTTAGAAATTTTGTCTATCTGTCTGTTGGTATGTTTGCACGCGCATCAGTCAAAAATAATGCAAGGAATTGAATGCACTTCTCACCGATGTACTGCTAGAGGTCCATTTTAAAATATTGAAAACAATATTGGAGAGGCCATTTTTGTAAATTTCAGTCAAAGCAAATTGATAAGATAAAGTAAATGTTGAAGTATGCCTGTTAAAAGAAAGAGGTTAAAGAAAGTCTACTGCCATACCTGTACAAAAGCGTTGGGCTGAACGTTTTCTGACGCCTTGCGTTAACGCCGAAGTGCAACGCTACGTCAAATAAAGATATATCACCAGCAATAAACAAAGGTATGTTTGTGTGAACGGCGAAAATTATAGTTTCGCCGTTTTCTGCAGCCAACTTCACTCTCTAACGCCCTGTCATAATCGTATTTTCTAACCGCGAAGCATTGACGCCGCGTTATTTCGGTATGCTTCATATAAAATATATGGGCATGAGAAATTTTTGTTCGCCAGACAACGCTGACGCTTTTGTTTAGGTATGGCAATTACAGCCGAAAATATTTTTTGGAAGGTTGCCACCCTGCTTCGCAGTGCCTCCAAAGTATTTTTGTTTTCTTACTCTCTCTCACGACATTTGAAAATATAAGTTAATACGGTAGTACATATTTCTATAGTAGGGAGATTTTTTTTTCAAATCGGGTCAATATTGAATATTGAATTAAAACGCATTTGATGGTAGACTCCAGTTAAAAGATTATAAATTAAATTACCAAGAGGAAGTCGGTACTTTACATATATTCTAATTACCTTCGAAAAGATATTAATTAACACCCACACTCAAAAAAAAAAATATATATAAATAAACAATGCTTCGTCGATCGAAATTTTTTTGAAAATCTTACTTCATAAAGCTGTTTAAATATAAGTATGTATTTTATAAATGAGACCATTAGAGTCTTGGGAAAGAGTTACACCATAAAAATACCACTAAAGGCGCAGCGAAGCACGCCGGGTATTTGCTAGTGTACATAGCTATATTATTGTATTTACGTAATCAGTGCTAATTAGTTATTATTAATTGCGTAATTAAGAGCGTTAAATAACGTTGTAATTTACGCTTGATGGTGCCGTCTACATTGAGAGAGAGTTTGATGCTCATACGCATCATCAAATCAAATTTGGTAAACTACATACCCTGCAGAGAAACCCCGAACTGGTGAACTAAATTTGTAGTTCCGTACTAGATCTTTATCGCCAAAAATTAACTAGTCCGATAGGAACTAAATCCCCACCAGTCCAAAATCGGCGAAAAGTGGTACTTTTAAAAAACTATTTTTTTCAGTTTTTTTCACTAGACATCTATATCTAAAGTGACGAATTTAGGAATGGTTCGGAACTATAGAAAACGGGATGCAGAACGAACTAGATCTTATTTGTCGAATTTGGAACCAATTCGAAACTATCGAATAAGGGATGCAGCGGGGGGCTTGTTTACTTTACATAGATATGTGTTCGGCGGCTTTTCGTTCAAATACGCTTCTATTCTGCTCTTCGCAGATGCTTTTTCATAGCTTGGTAATACAAAACTAAAATTTGTGTTAACATTTCAACATCTTGGGACCGTCTGGAATCTAAGAAATAACAGCGAGCACCTCTGAAAACTCAGCTACAGCTAAAGGTATGTAAACGTACATTTCTTACAATCATTCAAACAAATTTAATTTCAAATTGAAATCACATTTCTTCCAAAATAACTTAAAATCGCACACACGGAAGAACCAAAAAGATTGAAAAATCATGATACTTTTTTCTTTCGTCTGTCGATTTCAGAACTGGTTCGGAACTATAGAATTTAGGACTAGTTCGGAACTATCGAAAAAGGTATGCAGCGGGTGGCAATTGACACTTCCTAGGACATCGCCAGGTTAAATTCGCCAGTTGCTTGCATGCAAAAGAGATTTATCGCGAACCAGTACTGGGTCTAGATGGACTAGAAGCGCCCCAGTTCAGAACTAGAGATTTTCCCCACAGGGTATGTACATACATACATACATATTTACATATGTATGCATGTACATACACATGTAAATTTTTTTGTTTTCATCAAATGACATCAGGGGTTAATTGAACAACCGCTGCTAGAACAAAGAGCAACAAAACCAGTGATCGGACTTCTACAACGTTGTGGTAGACCTGCCACTTTTTTGAGCATCTACCACTCAAGGTCTGAACTCTACCACATATTCGGGTTTTTGATTATTTTTATTTTTGCTCGACATAATTTTCTTAATTTTAAGATCAAAAATTGTCCAACACTAAACACTATATGGTAACACAACTGATATTATACAAGATTCCACATTCTCGGCGACGATGAAATTTCTCAAGTAAAAGTAAACAAAGCCGAATGGCAGGATAAAATAAACTGTAAAATAGTAAATTTTCTCAGTAATCAATTTGGTTTTATTGTGTTAAATTGCAAAACATATGATTCATAAAATAATAGCAAAAATGTTAAAAAACGGCGATTTTTGCGAAAGTATTAGCAAATTTAAGTACATCTAAAGTTTCGGAGGCGTTGTTTACTTTTACTTGAGAATTGTCAAAATCGGTAAATCCCAATTAGCTGTTTCTGGAACGTGCCACATTTGTTCGCTACTTCGTGATGTGATAAAAAGAAAAGCTGGCGGCACTCCGCAAGGTTGCAAAAATCTCTTAAAATATGTTCGAAATATATCTTGATATGGAAGGCACTGCGTTACACTGTCAATGAAAATATTGCCAAAACTCAACGCAGTTTTTAGAAACTTCAATCTTGCACTTTATTATGCTAAAATTAAATTTGTTTTAGTCTTATTAAAAAGTTTACAATTTAGGTGAAACCTTGTAGATTTTTTTTAATTTTTGTACAAAGTTTGATCCAAACCCTGAAACCTACACATTTTTTTGAAATCTACCATATTCTTTTCCAGATTCCCCCACAGAGAATTTTTTTTTACGTCCGATCACTGTAAAAACATCAAGAACTATAAAAAAGCACCAACCACAATTCATTGAAACGTTTATTTGTAATTGATTGTCAACATTTTTCGTCATTGGTTATGCATGATGAATGTCTGATAATGAAAGACACAATACATATTGTAGCGCACTGAGCTCGTAATTAAAACTAACCCGAATTACTCGTATGTAACAGTTGCACTGGATTCCTGGGAACTAATTTGAGTCACGAGTTAATCTGTATTTGCTTCAAAAACCAAGACTAACAGGCGTCAAGTTCATTTCACGATCAGACACTTTTTATATGATTTCGTTTTTATTTTCTTTCACGAATACATATTATAATTTGTACGTGGCCGGATAACACCTTTAGTTAGTGCGCTAAGTTTTCTAACTAAATGAGTTCCCCAAATTACAAATTCAATGTCAATGGCACAGCAAATGCAACTAGGACGCCATTCTCAAATCCCAATGGTGACATTCTCAGCTGACGGTGTAATTTGCTAATTTGGTAAGTTTTTCTACTTGCGTGTGTGCATTTCTTGAGGCGCATATATACATATTAGGGATGTTAATTTTTAAGCTTTTTCCGATCCCGGGATTTTCGGTATGTCGTTATTACAATCCCGGGATTAGTCCCGGGATTTAGATATTCATTACTTTTCAACAACTCAAATCGAGGAAATTGCTTCTATATTGTTTGAGAAGCTCTCCTACCATAAAATAAATAATAAATAAGTGGGTTTGTTATTTAAAGTGGCGTTTTTCTCCCTGACGTCGGAATTTATTTTAAAGGACTTTGTAATTTCAAAGACATGTTTAATTCCAAAAATTATTTAAAAAATTCAATGCCATGTAGAATAAAAATGTGGGAACCAAATGCAAGTGGAAATTTCTTTAGAATTTAAAAAAATTACAATTTTTTGGATTCACAAGGACGAATAGGTACTTTTTTAAGCTGATAAAGTTAGAATGACAAAATTCGAGAATGTAATCGAGTTTATATAAGTCCTTAACCTATAATTTTTTCAAAAACTAATATTGCGAAAGTCGAAGGATAAAATTTTAAAAGGATATTTTCAATACTTACCAGTCTGTTTGCACCAAACTCTTGAATCTGTTTAAATTCTACAGGATTTCCTCTTTAATTTGATACCCATACTCCTTTTCTAAGCACATTTCTCAGAAGTTTTTAAATCATTTTTAATTACTGACGTCAGAGTGAAAAACTAAAAACGCAGTTTCACTATATTTGGCCCATAGCTTCGCGAATATATTGATATTTGTATTTAAAATTTACTATTGCGCGTTGTTATATGTATATGAGCTAGACATTAATATAAAATATTAATTATTAAATAAAAAAAGAAATATAGCCAATACTGGTCAAGAAAAGGAGTTTCTATTATTGCCATCAGTGCAAATTACAAATCCCGAAAATCCTGGGATTATTTGCAAAGAATCCCAGGATTTTTGGGACCTTAAAAAGGCCGGGATCCCGGGATCCCGGGATTAATATTCCTAGTACATATGTATGTAAAATTGTAAATGCCGACATACATAAATATGTACACAAATTCAAAGAGCTCTACTCTTAAGCAATTGGATGAAATTTATTTTATTAATTGAGGGTGTCTTTGGTATTTTGTGAAAACGTTCGCGAGTATTTTGCCAATGCACATATGGGGCATTCCATGGATAGGTAACTAAACCTTTATGTTCAATTATAAACTTACTTTTTAAACATGTACTGCTTAATAAATCGATACTCTATAACCTAAATTAACGAAATTTCGAAGAAGACTTTTTAACCCAAAGCATACGTTACTTTCTAAATAAGCACGTACCACTTCGCAAGCTAGCAATCACGTCACGTTCTTGTCCTTGGTTTACCAGGGATGTCAAATTAGCCATAAAAAGCCGCAACATCTCTTACAATGTCTGGAAAAGAAAGCCCACGAATGAAAATTGGACCGCTTATAAACGAGCTCGGAATAAAGCTTCTTCCTCTGTGAAATTTGCTAAAAAGAAATATTATTGTAGCAAACTCAATACCGATTTGCCCGCTAAACAGCTATGGTCTAACTTGAAAAGGTTGGGCGTACGGCCACGATCTGAAGCTTCTTGTCCTCTCGATCCTAATCTACTTAACTCATTTTTCGTTTCGTCCAACTCCTCCACAGTATACAATAGCTCACTACCCATGACCACCTCCCCCAATTTGCCGCCTTCAACGAAATTTCAGTTCATATCGGTTGGGGAAATGGATGTTGCCAAAAGTGTTTACCGCATAAAATCTGACGCCATTGGCTCCGACGGCATACCAATCAAATTTATAAAATTAATTTTGCCGAACATACTAAGCTGTCTTACACATCTGGTAAACCATTGTTTCACCACTTCCTCCTTCCCCTCTGCTTGGAAAGTTGCAATTATTACCCCTCTGGCCAAAAAACCAGGTGCTTCCGAGCCTGCGGATTTCAGACCCATAAGTATTTTAACAGGGTTATCAAAGATATTTGAGTCGCTTATGGCAAAACAAATAAATGACTTTATCGAGGTAAATAATCTACTCAGCCCGCTTCAATCAGGTTTTAGAGCTGGCCATTCTTGCTCGATTGCAGTCACTAAAGTACTGGACGATATCCGGCAGGAGTTTGATCAAGGTCACTTAACGTTTCTATGTCTTTTAGATTTTTCCAAAGCGTTTGACTCTGTCAACCACAGCCTCCTGTGTAGAAAATTAACTACCTTTTTTGGATTTGGTGAAAGTGCAGTAAAGCTTCTGAACAGTTATCTGTGTAACAGAAAACAGAAAGTTAAAATCGACAACAACTTCTCTGAAATGGCGCTCACATGCTCTGGAGTACCTCAAGGCTCTGTGCTAGGTCCCCTTCTTTTCAGCATTTTTATCAATGACATTTTCAAATCATGCTCACACGTTCGCCTACACGCCTACGCCGATGACGTTCAACTATATATATCTAACCATATCAGCATGGTCCAAGACACAACACTTAGGCTTAATGAGGACCTGCGCGCGATTCTTGAGTGGTCTGTTGGAAACCTTCTCAGCCTCAACGCTCTAAAATCTTATGTGCTCCCTATTTGCAAAGATAAAATACAAGTTTCTGATATTCCTCACCTTTATATTGGTTCTACAAAGCTTCAATTAGTCAGCAAAGTGAGAAACTTGGGTTTTATTATTAATTCTAAGATGACTTGTGAGGACCACGTCAATGAAGTTGTGAGTAAAATATACTACACCCTGCGATGCCTGAGAGTATCCTCGCCTTTCGTACCTTCAGGCACGAAAAAGAAGCTGGTTCTGAGCACAATTGTTCCTCTTATTACTTACTTCGAAGTAGTGTACAGCAAATTGGACTTTCACTCCCTGCACAAACTCGATGTTGCATTAAACCATGCCACTAGGTATGTATATGGCTTGAAGAAATTTGACCATATATCTACTTTTAGGAACTCAATACTTGGCTGTGACCTAACAAACTATATAAAAGCTCGTAATTGTATTTTTATGTTTAAATTGCTTGTTTACAAAAAGCCGGAATATCTATATGAAAAGCTTAAGTTTTCCAAAAGCTCACGCTCCTTTAATTTGATATTGCCGAAATTTAACTACTTAAGCTCTTCAAGGCTTTTTTTTGTTAATGGTGTTAGACTTTGGAACTCCCTTCCACTGTCTCTAAAGAACTCACTGCGTGAAAGTAATGTAAAACAATGTATCTTTGAATATTTTTCCAGTTAAGTCGCATAATAAGGTGGTCATAAATTTTTTATTTTATAAATTTTTTATTTTAATTTTTTTTTTTTATAAATTTTTTATTTTTTTATTTTTCTATTTGGCTTTTCTAAGTTAATATTTACATATGCATACATAGCTATATTTATATAATTGTAATTTTTATTTTATTTTAATACATATTTTTGTAATCTGTTATTTGTATTGCGCAATAAAAGTTTAATTCTTAATGCGCTAATCTACTTAAATAAACAAATAAACATAATAATAGAGAATTTATTTTTATTATTTTATTACGCTCTAGATACGTACATGCAAACCTTCAACATTAGGAAACTAATTGAATACGAGCACTTACATGCATCCCGATTCAAATGAATAGGACATATGTTAAAAAAACGAGCTCATACCTTTGCATTTTGGTATCGGAAAAGCTCCGTTTTATCTTAATTTTAAAGAGCGATCAGTTTTGAACAAATGTGGGGAAAATGAGAGTTATGGGCAGTATATTTTGCATTCTTTTGTTTTTGTGCGTTGTTTTTAAAGAACAACACGAAAAATATGCTTTTAAATTTGATTCGCTAGAATAGGTACACTGGCTAAGTACAAAAAATTAATTAGTTAAAAAGTCCGGTTGGGAAGACTGTCGTAAAATCTTTTTATTTAGTCCAAGTATAGCTCACTCCATGCGATTTTTATCGCAGCTATGAAAGACTCGCGATCATCGCATTGACGGTCTGATTCATAAACTCTGCATATCGCACCCCAAACTATCACAACCCCTTCGCGGTTATGTTGGATGGATAAATAAAAAAGGAATGAGAGGTCAAATGAAAATGCGCAAGTATTTTTTTGTATGAAATATGAGCAGGAAAGAGTGTTACTCATATGCACATACATGGCGTATGAGTAACATTCTTTCCTGCTAATATTCCATACAAAAAATCGTGGCGCATTTTCATTTGACAACTGATTCTCTTTAATTTATCCATCGGTTTTCTTCATTAGTAGATTGATTTTTTGTAAGGGAACAAGCTTTAACACAAATGAAAAGAAATGACAGAATCTGTTGTTGTTTTAATTTTTCCCTGCTAAAGTTTGAATGTTTTTAATTTTTCATCAAAAAACAAAAAATCTGGAATGATTAATTTCTTAAAAACTATCAGGGCGTTATGAATATACGGTTAATTGAGAATTTTAGTTTCATATTAAGATCGCTTAATTCTAAATATCTCCATCCATCCATTGAAAACAAATAACTCTATTTTCGGAATCATCGAGCAATTCAACATAGGAATTGGATAGTGGCATCTAGTGTGATTTTTTTCTGTAAACTAATGTAACTAAATCCATCGGGCCATGGAAATTATTACGACCACTTTCCATTCGTTCTTCTAACTTCTGTCAGCCCTACAAATCTCTAGCCTTGCTTCGTTCCGTTGAGCATTTAATGGCATCTTTTGAGCACCAGATACAACTATTAATTATTCTTTTTACATAGGAAACACTTGCATTGAACGGCAAACACGCAAATTTGTGTTTCCCAATTGAATAGGAATTATTGCGTATGGTATTATTACACGCACCCCACCCATGAGGCATTATACCAGGTGAAGTAATATTAGAGACATTATACATATATATTTGAAAATTTGCCTATAAACTGTGACTATAAGATAGCCGAATGTCAGAAAATAAAGGGCGAAAGCTGGTTTATGACTTCACCTGTATATTACGCCATTCATCCCGCCTGCTCG